GGACGGATGGGTGGACAGGTGAATGGATGAGTAGCTGGACAGTTATCATCCCACTCCCTTTTCCTCTCTCGTGTCATCACATTAGCCTGATAAAACCAGTAAGATCCAGCTCGGCCCACTGTACTCCATGGCCCACACCGCGGGAGAAAAACAGAAGATCACCCTGAACGATTCACTTAAGTTCACTGACTCCTGATAGAAGCAGGCCTGGCATGGCCACTCAGCTGTCGCTCAGCTCTGGGGGACCAGTTGACTTACCCTCCTCAACCCTCCCTTCTCCGCTACCCTCGCTCTTGGCGATAAACGTCCACACTCACCTGCTGGCCTGCCTGCCTCATATCCTAGAGCCCAGCCCTTCTCACCAACACGTGCTCACGGTTCTGGTGACCCACTACAATCCCTCCCGTGACCGGAATGGGAGAACCTCCTGGACCCCGCAGCCTCGTCAGCCTACACCCCGGATTCACTGCTTCCCCACAGAGTCTCTTGAACGAGCCGCCTGGACCTCTGGCCCCGAGTCCCTTTACTCCCACACTTTCTCAGCCCCACTCCCAACTGGCTTTCCCGGCCCCGTTTCCCGAAACCACCTTCGTCAAGGTTCCCACGTCTGCCGTGCCGAAAGCCTCGCTGGGCCTCATCCCTCAGCAGCACTGGAGGTGCGGACCGTCCTCTCTCCAGAGACACTGTCCTCTCTCGGTCTGGTCAAGCCACACTCTGTTCGTTTCCTGGCTTCGTTGGAAGTTCCTTCTACATCTGCGTTGCTGTCTCCTCCCCTCTCCCCAACCTGTAGACGCTAGAGGTCCCCAAAGCCCAGTCCCTGGACCCTCTCTTCTGTGGCTATCTTCACTACCTCAAAGTTCTCAGTCTCAATTTTAAAATAGCAGCTGTATGTGGGCCAACCCCAAGTTCGATCTCCATCCCGGGCTCTTCCCCACAATTCCGCGGTCTGCACGCCTCATACGCACGAGTCGAGCTTGACCTCCCCCTCCCCATGGTCCCCATCAAACTGTCCCTCTTGAGGTCTTCTGCATCTCAGGAAACACCCCTGCCCACAGGCCAGGGCTCAGCCCTACACCTGGGGTGACACCTTTCTGTCCACTGCAAACGATCAAGCAGGAAGTCCTGTCGGCTGCACCTTCAACACGTGCCCAGAACCCAACCACCTTGACCAACTCACCGCTCCCACCTGGGTCCGGCCCCCACGACGTTCCCGTCTCCCTGCTTCTGCCCCCGCCCCTACAGTCTGTCCTCTCCGAGTAAAATCCAGAGTTCTGACGTGGCCCGTTGGCCCTGCCTGACGTGGACCCCCGAATCTTGGGTCCTCACGTCCTGCTTCACCGTCCTCGCTTGTTCTCTGCTGGTCACAAGGGTCCCTGCTGTCCCTTAAACATCCAGTTCTGGCCTCAAGGAATTTGCACTGGCTGTTCCTTCCGCAAGGACGCCGTTCCCCGCACACCCCATGGAGGTCTCCCCTCCTTCAGGGTCACGTTCTCAGGGAAGCCCCCGCTTTGCACTCCCCATCCCCTGACCTGGCTTTGCCCTTCTCTGTCTCAGAGTCCCGACGCGGCCATCATGCACGGTCTGCCTCCCGCCCCAGGACGTCGTCTCCAGGCAGACCTCACCTGTTGCCGAATCATCTCCTGCACCCAGAGCGGGAGGACACACAGTAGGACTGTGACAGAGGCGCACCTCGCGGACGAGCGAACGTGTCGTGACAGCGGTCGCCAACAGAGCTAAGTGTGTCCCCGGTGCCACTGCACGGAGTCCCCACAACAAGCCTGGGGGCCGGGCTCCGTGGGAAAGTGGGGGGCGGACAGCCTGGGCCGTGCTCCGCATCTCACGTTCTCAATTCTGCGGGGCGGGTATTTTGGTCGCCACGTTTACAGAGAGGGAGTGGAGGCACGGAGGCAGAGACCAGGGCACCCGCCGGGGGTTCTGGAGCAGGTGAGCACACAGAGCCCTCCCGTCCCACACCCTCCGCTGCACGTGTGCTCACTCCAGATGCAAGGGGGGGACGGCCCGAGGCGAGTCTGCAGGCGGAGGGTGGTGGCCTGCCCAGTGCTGGGCTGGAACGCGCCCCTTCCAGCTGCTGCCGGCTCACGAGTGCACGAGTGCCGACCCGGAACATCGTTTTCCGACTCCACGTTTGGTGACCTCTCCCTGCCAGCATGAGATCGGCCAGGGTGGGAGCATCCACACCCCACGAACTGGCAAGTGCCACCCTTCAGGGCTGGGTCTGTCCCCGGAGAGCTGGCTGTTAAGACCCTGGGGCCCACGTCCCGGCAGAGAGGCGGTACCGGGCATGACCGTCTGCAAAGCCAGAGTTAAGTGCGGCCCGAGCAGCTTTACGGAGCCCCTCCTCCGAGCCTGCGTTTGAACGGGAACGAGGTGCAGGCTGTGTCCGTGAGGAGCTTCTGGCCCCGCAGGAGCCAGCCACGCCCAGAAGACACTACCAGAGGCTGGATGGAAGGTGCGAAGTTCCAGAAAGATCGATGTTCCTGCATCTGGCAAAGGGGAGCCGAGGGGAGCAGATGTCCCGTGTGGCTGGCCTTGAGGGTGGGGCCGGGGCTCTGTGAGTGACTTCACCTCGGGTCCGCCATCTGTCCAGCCAGCCTGGCTCTCCCCTCGCCCGAGAGGTGACAAGCGTGGGCTGCACCCGTGCCCTCTGGTGTCCGCCCAGAGGAGAGCGCCTCCAGGGTATTTAGTCCCTGGCTCCCTCCCCGGGAGGCTGTCTCGGGCTGGCTGTGACCTGGGCCAAGGGGGCCTGGACCTCCTCTGGAGGGTGACCCTCCCTCCTCACCCCCGCCCGAGGTGGCGGCGGCTCGGTCACCGTCAGCGCTGGGGTCCTGCGTGCTCCCCGACACTCCCCCTCTGTCCACCCTCCCGACGCTGCTGGACACAGTCTCACGTGGAATTTCCCCACGGCGAGGGAGGGAACCAGCTACTCCCTCCTGGATCCTGATGACGTGCTCTGCTGAAGGACCAGGCGGGCGTCTCTACAGGGAGGTGGGTCCTCTCGAGGACGCCTCGCCGCTGAGCTGCCTGGTCTTGGGCCCTGCTCCCCGAGGGGCTGCCCGTGGCACCAGGATCCTCAGCTGCTAAGTGACACCAGGCTCAGCCTTACCTCTTGGTCTGTGGAAGAGGACGGCGTCCTGTCTGCCTGGAGGCAGGGGCTGGGAGGGAGGAACCTTCATCTTTAGGATCTAGAGCTAAGGTCCCCCCAGGTATCTCTGCCCATCCCACTGGCCCAAAGCATCCTCCGCCCCAGCCTGAATTCCCAGGCCCCCCGGCCGGTGCGTTCCCGTCCTGCTGGGGTGAAGGTCCCCGTGCGTGTGAACGGATGGACTGGTGGGATGCTTGGGGAGCAGGGTCGTTGGGGGAAGGGGAAGGGGTCAGTAGCAGCCAATGGCGCCCCCCCCCCTCCCGCCTCCCAGACCTTCTCTCTGCAGTCCCTCTGGCTCCTCCGCTCACAGTCCCTCCAGGACAATCAGGCTAATTGCCTCTTGGACTCCTCACCCCAGGAAGGAGGGCGCCGCAGGCCCCGGGCCCGCGGGCCAGGCTGCGGCCGGGAGACTGGCGGCACAGGCTGGGCAATGAGCCATTTCTCCACCCCTGGGCAAAGCTGGCTCCCAGACAGGGCGGAGGAGGGGGCGAGGCAGAATGGCAGAATGGCCCTGGCGTGGACCAAACTATTAGGGCGTAGCGTGCCCACCCCACCCTGTACCACGGCCCCCTGCCCGTCAGGTGTCGGACCCCCACCCTCACAGCCGTGCCACGCACAACCATATGTCCCCAAGTCACCAGCGTCTGCTGAGCTCCACTGCCTGCCTGGCACCAGGGCACATCCCGGTGGTGAGCAGGGCCTGCCCTTGGGGCCCTGCCAACTCAGTGACTTCCTGGTGACCTAAGAGTTGGGGGTCACAAGCTACGTTTCATAGAGGGGACCCTGCGGCCACAGGCCACGTGACGAGCGAGCAGGAGGTCTGGGGCACTCGCAGTGTGGAGGTGGACGTGGCAGAGGCCAGCGGGGAAGCGGGCAGGGGACCGGGTCTTGGAGATGTCTCTGCACATGTGGCTGGAACCACAAGGGGACAGACAGACGTCAACTTCCCAAGCCCCGGCCACAGCCTGCTCATCCAGAGGCACGCAGCATGGGACGATTCCCAGGGCCAGGAAAATAGGAGGGCTGGTTTCCAGAGGACACCTGTCCAGAGAGTCCTTTGTGAGCACTCCTGGCCCGTCCCCCAGCTCCCCCTGAGAGAGGAGAGGAGTCAGGCTGGGGCTGGCCTCCGGGAGGCAGGAAGTAGCACCCAAGTCCCAGGGGCCTTCAGTGACAACTGAGCCAGGGGACCTCACGGCTCTGACCTCCCAGCCTGGAGGTGGGATGGCCCTGTGTCCCCCGCCCCCCGGCCCCCAACCCAGGCACGCACACGAGGCGGTGGCCCCATCTCCAACCGCGGGTGACACCCAACCTGCCCGCCGGGCAAACTGGGACCCTCCCGTCTCCGCCTCCCTGCCAGGCGCCCCCACTGGGTTCTGCTCGCTACCAACGCGAAGGCTCCTTCGGTCTTGGAACAGCTCTGCCAGAAAGCTCCTCCACGCACTGAGCTGAAACCTGCCTTCTGGAAACTTCCACCCAGCACCCGGCTCAGCCTCGGGGCCTGCACCCCTGCAGTCCACGGACTCACGCTCCCGTGGCTGACGCTCCAAGGAGCGGAGAATCCACACGGCTACACCTGCCACTGTTGCTCCCGGTGCACATCCAGGAACGTGCTCTGGTTGCTCCCGTCTTACAGGTGAGAGAAGGCAGGCAAGCAGCCATGCCTGAACCCAGGCCGGCGTCCTGGACTGTCGCCACGGCTACAGCACCTTCCCTTTCCCAGGTGCAGGGGGGTCTGGTATGGGGGCCACGGGAGGGAGCGTCACGGAGCAAGGGGACCACTCGGGACAACGCCATGAACCGTGGGAAAGCATCCGGACGCTCAGGGTGGGTGACAGACAGGAAAGGGGTGGAGAAGAGCGTCCCTCAGGGCATAGAGGAAAATCACTAACACATTTCGTTGTCTTCTCGGAGGGGACCTTCCTGTTTTCTTAATGTGCCAATCACGGGAAAGTGAAGTTTTGGGGAAAAAGACGACAAAAGTATGGGAAGGCACGGGGACGAAGCCGGGTGCAGGATGACGCCAAGGGGACAGGTGGCCACTGACTCTCGTCCCGGCAAGCCCCCGCGCCAGGACTCTTTTAGCATTCCTGCCACCATGATGCTTGGCTCTGGCAGAGAGGTCCTGCTGTGATTCAAAGAGCGCTGGGCAGGAGTATCTGCTTTTCTGGATATTTCCAAGGATGGTGGAGCCTGGCCCTGCCTCCAGGGACAACCGGGATCTCAGAAAGGGACCTTGGAGGATGTTCTACCCGCTCGGCTGGGGAGGAAGTCGGCAGCGGGGAGGTGGTGAGTGCAGGCGGGGCGGGAGGGTGAGCTATGGAGAGCAGGAACACCACTGCCGGATACGCACGAGGACCCACCGGCTGCCAGGTTCTGGGTGCCTGGGGCGCACCAGTGAGCACGGCCCGTCTCCGGGAGCAGACACCCCTGTGGAGGCCCCCTGGGCATTAGCTAAATTTGAAATACATGATGTGATTTTCAGGGGCAGCCAATTAGCGTCTCCATGGCGGTTGGCTCAAGTTAACCTTCCCATCCTGGGCCACCAACTGAGAGCAGGGGCCTGGCCCGGAGGCGGCTGGTGACTCACAGAGGGGCTCCCCACGCACATGGCGGTGGGGGGCACAGAAATGGAAATAAACAGTCCCAACAGCGATCCCAGAGAGAAAGAAGGGGCTGCTCCAGGATTCAGCCGGGGTCACTGGCACGGGGGCCAAGGGGGTGGACAGCCGCAGCACATGGCTTTCTCCCTCGCAGGTTCTTGCCCTCTGACTCAGTTGCAATCCTTAGCCCAAAACAGGCCATCTTCATGGCTCACGGGCTTCTGACCCCAACTTTTGGGGCTCAAGCAGTGGCAGGAGAGCATCCTTGCCAGGCGGGAACAGAGGCACTCCAGCCAGCCCAGGCACCCCGGGAAAGCCGGGTCCTAGCAGTGAGAGGGTGAGCCTGGGAGCCCTGGGGGGCAGGCCCAGCCCCCATCTCCTGCCGAGACCTCACCAGGCCCCCTTGCACCCCATCCAGCATATTCACAGCAGAGGCTTCGCTCCTGGACACGCTCATGCCTCCCTCCCCAAGTTCAAGATGTTATTCCAGAGGTGTGCGGTGGGAGGCAGTGGTAGGGAGTCCTTGCTGGTGAGCACCTTAAGGCCAGAGACTTCGGGGTGAGGGTTGTCTAAGCAGGACGTGCTGGGGCACGCCTCAGGGCACAGCTGGGCTGCTATCACAGAACGGGCAACCTGGATGGGCAGGGTGATGCCTTAGCATTCTAGAATTCTATTCTAGAACGTTCTAGAATTCTATTCTAGAACGTTCTAGAATCTCCGTGGTACGGGTTGGGGGGAGGGTGTGGAGCTCCAGACCAGGAGAGCCCTGAGGGCCAGAGCTCTTCACGAGGAAGTGAGCCCCTGACACAGTTCAGGCACACAGCAAGTGCTTAGTAAATGCTCAGTAACGCGGGGGATTGTGGGAGTGACAGCCACTGGTCGAGGGTTTTCGAGAGCCCGGCACTGGGCTCAGGAGTAACAATGTGCTATTTCGTGTGACGGTCAGACGACCTGTGAGCTGGCCTCCTCCAGAAGTTGCCTGCCCGCGTGCGCACAGCCAGCACGTGGCAGAGCTGGGATCCGGGCCCAGGCCCGGCTGACTCGGAGCCACTGGATGCTGCCGGGCAGGGCACGGACTGTCGTCTGAGTAGGAGCAGAAGGGGGTGTGCCCTCCACCCACTGCCTGGAAGAGGGTCGAAGGCCCGTGGTGCTCGTTCCCCGTCCCAAGACTCGGGAGGCCTGTTCTGCCGCTCGCTGATCCTGCTTCGCAGACACCATTCTAACCGAGCCACCAGCCAGGTTTCCTGAGCCCGTCCTGAGAGCCCACCTGTGGGCTGGACGCTTCCCTCTGGTGCTCAGAGGGCTCAGCCGCGGGCCCTCCCGTCCCCACCTCGGTCTTAGCTACTGGCTCTGTGGTGGGTGCGTGTGGTGGGGGGGGGGGGGGGAGCCCTGCTCTGTGGCGTCTACGGTTTCCGTGGTGGAAAACTACCAGCAAGAAGCGTCTGAACGCGGGGCTTGCGGGGACGACTCCAGAGACCCTGGGGCGGGAGAGGGGGCCGCCCCTGTCGGGCTCCCGATTCACCTCCCTGGTCTGAGCAAGAGGAGGTGTGGGAGGGCCAGGGACACGGTGCTACGTGTGACGGGGCTCTGCGCAGGGCTGGGGCAGGGGCTGCTGGGAGACCAGTGGTCGGCGGGCCAGGGAGAAAGGGGGGGGGCAGCGCTGCTTGCTGGGTGGGAGGCTGGGGGCACGAATCCACCTGAGCAACCGCTCCCCCCACCGCTCCATCCAACCCGTCTGTGCCCTGGCAACTGCTTTCGTGTCTTTTATTAATTAGGGCTGTCGGACGGCGCATCATACTCCACGTTACCGCATTCAGGGACCGTTAGGCTGGCTCTCGGCGGCCTCTCCTCCTTTCTTCCTTCCTTCTCTGCGAGGGGTCTGGTGCCCAGGCCGCCCCAATGCCCCAGAACGCGCAGGGCGCACCGTGTGTCTGCTCCCGCCCCCGGGACCGGGAGAGACTTCGGGGGAAAGGCAGGCAGAGCCCCCCCAGATGGGCAGGACCCTGACGCACTGGCAAGTTTACAACCTGGAGCCCGGCTACGCCCCTGGGCGACTCGGCGCGGGCCTCGCTGCGTTCCTGCTGGCCCCTCCACCTGCCCTCCACTCCACCAGAATCACGGGTCTCCCCCCCCCCCATTTGTGTCTCCTCGTCCTGTGTCCGCAGCCCCTCGTTTCCCAGTAGGGCCTCAAGCCTCTGCCTCACTGGCGCTTTGGAGGCTGCAGGTGGGCGATGGGGCCAAGTCACCCCGTAACCTGCGAGGTCTGAGTGAGGAGCCCTACCCCCAACCACACAGAACACATGAGGCTTACGTGGGGGCCCAGCCTGGATTCCCGATGAGCCCTCAGCACGAGCGCCGGTGCCCCCCACCCCCCGAGGCATCCTGGGCACCCTGCCTCCGAGGCCGGGAGGCCTGGAGACTTTTGTTCTAGTCTCCCCGCCATGGCCCAGTTTCTGCGCCTTCGCCACGAAAGCTGGTGGTGCCGGCCAGAGCGAACGCAGTGCCGGAGCAGGATGCGGCCGGGCCAGCCTGGCGTCTGCAAAGCAGCTCCGAGGGTGCCCCGTGTGCCCCTTGCCGTGTGTGTGCGCTCAGTGCAAGCTCCGTGTGCCCTGTGAGTGTGCCGGGCGCGCCCCGCGTGCTGTCCGGGGCACCTGCTCTCGTGGACAGAAAAGTACCCCACCAGCCTCCCGTCTCCCCGCTGAGCCGCGGGCACGGCCCCACCCACAAGTGGGGCTGCAGGCCCAGGCCGTGAGCACCGCCCGAGAACCTGGCCGCCACCGGCAGAAACCGCAGGTCCTTCCCGGTGTGCCGCAGACACGCCAGTGGTGATCCCTGTGCTCACCCCAACTCCAGCAGCTAGGGTGGTGAGCACACCCGGCCCTGGGCCTGCTCATCTGACGCGGCAGAAAAGAGGCCGCGGACAGGGCGTCACGGTCTTCTCTCTTTTGCTAAGTGTATTTCAACGAAGAGTTTTCCTTGTAAACCCGTGTGCCGTAGGCGTGTGAGACCATCTTGTGACGAGGGGTCCCAGTGCCTCACCAGATGCTCAGGGGTTCCAAGAACAAGAAACTGAGAACTTCTGGTCCTGATGGACCCCCGATGGGGCCAAGAGGTGCCACACCTCCACCCCCTGGAACGGAGCTGGCCCCGCAGCCAGAGCCCGCAGCCACTCAGCCCAGTCTCAGCCCCAACCCGCTCGGCGGAAAAGCCCCAGGCGAGGGGACGGATTTTCGCGCGATTAAGCCGTAATTCCCTCCAAGCCCACTGCATACAAATCATAAATAATGTGGCTCCGTAAATCCCTTCTCCCCTCAGCTACACCTCCACCAGGCTCCCCTCCTGCCTGGGGAAATCAGTGAGGAGACGTCTGGCTGATGGGGCTTGGAAAGCGGAGAGCGAGAGGTGGGTGGAGGGGGGGGGGGTTGCTGGGAAGCAGGTTCACCCCGGATTGTCCATCAAGTCAGAAGGAAACACCACCCACCGGTCCCAACTCCTGGGTCTGTGCAGACCTCGGGGCTGCTGGGCTGGGCAGGGACCGCCCAGGCTGGGGTCTGCCTCGGGCACCAAGCCCAGGTGGGGTCTCCGCGGGAGGGCAGGCAGTGGGGGCCCGAGCACTGCCGCGGGTGTCAGCCAGGGAGCTGAGAGACTGCCCCCAGCGAGCAGTGGTCTTTACCCGACTTCACGCACGCCCCCGGGGCTCTGCTGTGCTCTGAACCCGCAGCTTTGTGTGTGTACGTGTGTGGGCATGCGCCACGAAGAACCATCTACAGGCGCCGGGTGCTCCCCCGTGGGGACAGGTGGGGGGGGGGGTCGTCTCTCGGTCTACAGGAGACCGTGCGTGAGGCCAGATCGCCAGGCATGCCAGGGCTGCTGGCGGCAGAACTGGGGGGTACCGTCCGTCACCTTCGCGGAGCCTCCCCCTTCCGCCCCCACCAGGCACTGGGAGAGCAAAGCCTTCTGGGCACAGGGACCCTCTTCGGACTGCACACGTGTAGGGACAAAAACAGCTACTAAAAGGTGGTGTGCAGGCCCCAAGAAGGTGCTGTGTCCGCTGTTCCTCCCCGTTTCACTGGTGAGAACAGTGGGTGAGCACCCTACACCCCTGTCCTCCAAGCGTTCAAACACCTCCTCTGGGAAGCCTTCCAAGCCTAACCCCGTGATCTCCACTCTCAGCGGACACCAGGCTCCTACTCAGTGGGGTGGAGAGAACACTGTCTGGGCCAAAGCTCCCTGCCGGGGCCTCGTGAAGACAAACCTATAGGACAGTTGACAAGGTGACCCCCAGAAGGAGGACCACCGACAACCCCCCC